TATTGAAGATACATTTCAGGTATATAGAAGATATTGAAGATACATTTCAGGTATATATATAGAATATATTGAAGATACATTTCAGGTATATAGAAGATATTGAAGATACATTTCAGTTATATATATAGAAGATATTGAAGATACATTTCAGGTATATATATAGAAGATATTGAAGATACATTTCAGTTATATATATAGAAGATATTGAAGATACATTTCAGGTATATATATAGAAGATATTGAAGATACATTTCAGGTATATAGAAGATATTGAAGATACATTTCAGGTATATAGAAGATATTGAAGATACATTTCAGGAATGACAAAACCACAGTCAGAATTTTAACAGATTTTTAAGATTGATGAAACGGCTGCCAGAATGTTATAAAGCTTTTCCCGGGATTCTGAATCCTGATCTATGAATGTATACATGCTTTCACGTGTTGTCTAACCATTTGGTGGATATTTTAAAAAAAGTTGAAATTGATAGACAAGTAGTTAAGAAGGTTGGTTTAGGGCCAACTTTTTGATTTGTATAACAATTTCCATGTTCATGCACGTGCATTCTTGTCTTGCCTGACAAGTATTATGATCTAACTGGCTTTGGTGGGCGCATTAATCTTCTGCAATGACATTTATAAAGATTTCAGACCGGTTCTTTTACCGGCTTTGTGTTAGTTAGTGTGTTTTCTGGTCATGTTTATTGGTGTCTGTGGTGTAGCTGTTAGGCACTTTGCTGCTGCATGCAGGAGACCAGAGTTCAATTCCTGATTGAGTGGGGAGACATTTTTATGGAGTATCTCAGTCTGTCTGCTGGGATACTGTATCCCTCTCAGCCCGGGTCTGTCTGCTGGGATACTGTATCCCTCTCAGCCCGGGTCTGTCTGCTGGGATACTGTATCCCTCTCAGCCCGGGTCTGTCTGCTGGGATACTGTATCCCTCTCAGCCCGGGTCTGTCTGCTGGGATGTTGTATCCCTCTCAGCCCGGGTCTGTCTGCTGGGATGTTGTATCCCTCTCAGCCCGGGTCTGTCTGCTGGGATGTTGTATCCCTC